TGTTGGAGCGTAACTCTGTTAATGTTCATTCAAACACTCGCCACAGCTCGCACTGCAAAAGTGAGAACCGGATGGCCGTATAGGTGATTTTGGAAATTTTTTTAACAGTTTATGAATGCCGGGATGATAAAAACAGTTGGTTTACACGCACCCAGATTTGTTGACAAGATTTTGCAAAGTAAACTTGTCGAACGCAAAAAAGTTGGCCTGATTTTTTTTCCACTAATTAATCTACGGTGATCAAGAGCCATTATGGCTCTTAAATGTGATCGAAGATGAATTACCAGTTTTTGAGTGTACATATGAGGCTATGAACTCGATGTAAGATTTGGTTCACTCTTGGGCTGTTTGCAAATTATTTTTCTCTAAAATCTGGTAGCCTTTCCCTCAAAAGTGACATAAATGTGCTCTAAAGTTAACGGAATTGTGGGATTCGAATACAAGTTTATTGTTTAATTTAAATTATAAATTTATTAATAAAAGCCTCGCTTTTAGCCCTGGCTAAATCTATATATTATATCAGCCCTTTGCCGTACTGCCAGTAGTCTCCCTCGCAGCCGTTTTTTGTATCGTCACGCAACGCTCCTCCTGGGGAGAAGCGTTGCGTGACGATACTAAAAACGGCTGCGAGGGAGACTATACTGCCAGCCTTGCATTCGGTTTTGTTTAAAAAAAATAGCTGCAGTTATCCGCTCTCAACCCCCCTCAGTCTTCCTTTTTTCATTTTTGTTCTCTTTAAGAGAGTGCCTTCTGGACTAAATGCACTAGAAAAACTCTTGTCCTCGGACTTCTTGTCAGCTCCTACCCTTTGCCGTCTGCCAATTTTAGGGAAAAAATGCATTTTGGACCAAATCCTCCTTTTTGAACCGTTTTTCGGTCAGTTAGCATGGGAATGGCTAAAAAGAGATTTCACACACTAAGAACATATTTGACATAATTTTCTGCTAATTGGATTTAATTAGGCAGCTTGTTTTCGTTTTAGCGCATGCACATAAACCAAAATGTGGACTTGATTTTGGGCGAATCTATTTCGATTTTTTTTCTCACTCTCCTCCTTTCATCTTTTACCTTTCTCTTTATAGACAGTTTTGCTGTCCACTTTATCGTCTTTCTTTCGTATGAAGTTTTGGCTCGTTTTCTTTCAATCAAAGGGACAAACTTAATCTGTAAGACTGGTAGGTAAATAGCAAATTTTTCCCTAAATGTGGCTTGTTTTTGTCTGTATCTCTGTCAGGATTGGTCAAAAATATCTAAATGAGGTACCAGTGGAAAGATCTATCCTCGCTGATTTTGCAAATTACCATCTTAATAGCTGAAATGAAAAGCTAATGGTCCAGGAAGAATAATATGCATAGGTCCATATGAACCAAAAACTACCAAAGCGGACGTCAAACTGTTAAACTTTATGAAGTTTATCATTAAGAGGTGCAGCCTCTAGATTAACAGACAATATATAACTGTATATTCTAACACTATTTACTAGTTTTATTGAGGCCCTGCCAGGGTAAATTCCGACAAGCGACATGACCCAAAAAGTAGCGACAGAGCCTAAAACGAAATGGCGACAAGCGACAACCTCCCTCGGCCAAATTGCGACAGTGACGGCAAAGCCGAGAATATGCGACAAAGAACGGTGGTTTGGCTAATCACCAGTCTGAGTGCCAAGAAGTAATTTTCGTCAATTTTCCTTGCGCTTCAGAGGTTGTCTCTCGTCAGGGAGTTTCAGTAGACCCTCCTGAGCGCGTCGCGTTGGCCCGTCGCGTAGTCTTCATTTACGCAACCCCGCACAACTCCTGGGAGACCTTGGGACTAGGTTGTCCGTCAAATAGCTTAATTTACGCACGCTTTACATCTCTTGTAATCACTACTTTCATATAGACCATGACGCACCTTGTTTTCCCCCTCAGAATTTTGCTAGCCTGAGTATCAGGCCTTCCTAAGGGGATAGGGGAGACGAGATTTTTGAGGGGGGGGGGGGGAGGGGGGAGAAGAGAAAGGAAGGCCTGACACAAAACCATTCAGCAAATCGTGTGACACATCCAGAATCTGGATGTGGCAGTGATTGGATAACACACAATACGCCCTGACGTCACTGACCGCAAGTAAACACGAGCAGAGTGTTTTGATTTATGGATAGAGACGCAGAGAGGAATTCAAAGAGACTCTAGAGGGCGCTCTCAAGTTCTTTCCGGGAATAAAAATAACACCCGAGCAAGAAATGTGTTTTCAAAGCCTCGTAGTTAAAAGGAAAGATGTTCTCGGAGTATGGAAAAGCCTCATATACCAGCTTCTGCCGAAACTATGTCCGAGTATTGGTTTCACAAGACCAGGACTAGCCTGCGAAACGAAGAGCGAGTAGAAACGGATGTTTTCGCAGGCTAGACCAGGACAAAGAAGACGATATCAGTGCTTCAGATGTCTAAGTTTTGATGTCGACCGAGATATCGGTCGATATAGCGGTCGATATAGCGGTCGACAGTCGGTCGCTAGTCGGTCGACAGTCGGTCGATAGTCGGTCGATACTCGATCGACACTCGGTCGATACTCGGTCGACAGTCAGTCGACAGTCAGTCGATAGTCGGTCGATAGTCGGTCGATAGTCGGTCGATAGTGGGTCGACACTCGGTCGAGACACGGTCGATAGTCGTTCCAGATGTGTCTCAGCCGATATAGCTTTTCGTTCACCGACACTTCGCTGACTTTTCGCCGACACTTCGCCGACATTACACCGACATTTCGCCGACACTTCGCCGATAGTTGGTCGATAGTTGGTCGATACTTGACCGATGTATCGGTCAGTAATTGGTCGACACTCCGTCGATGGTCGGTCGACACTTAGCATTTCCTACATTTTTTAGCTTGGAAAACAAGGAATTAGAAAGCATTTTCTAGCTATATCGACCGCTATGTCGACCGATATCTCGGTCGACATTAGCCACAGTAAACAAGATCCAATAAAATTAGAGCGAGGTAGCCATGTATTGAGAATAGTCGACAGCACCAAGGCTTTAGCTTGTCTTTAGATTTTCCCTCGGACGATTTTCGGCCTGATTTACAGCAGCTTTTTAGCTGCCAGATTCTCAGGAACCTGCTTATTAATGAGCGCCGCTGTTGTAACTCTGTAAACAAAAGCAGTTTACAGTTTTCCGGGCACACGTTTATTTACAAACAGAGCGTTGGCGATCTTACATTAGCACAATTCCTAAAGCATGTTATAATTCCTCAAAAACGGCAGGTTTTCCATTACAAGTATTCGAAAACTCCTCATTAAATTGGAGGTTTCAGTAAAAGCGAAATTGTTGCAACACAATGCAAGCACCGGAGCTCGGCAAGACCGTATTGTGAGATTTATTTTAGGCGAGCTTTTTGACACGTGAAGCTGACAACCCAATGACCGGATGTGATTTTGATTGGATGGTTTCGAATCATGCTGTGTGGGGGTGGAAGGCTCCAGTAAAAGCATCTGTGTCAGGCGTTTCTCTCCTTCAGCTCTCTCCCTTTTTCGCTTCCATCTTTCCCCTTTTCCCCCAGAAACGCCTGATACTCAGGCTAGAATTTTGCATAACCAATGTTTCCAAATTCTCCAGGGTATTACAGTCGTCCCAAGAGAAATCGAAAACAATGGTTATGCAAAGTTTTGGGGGGTAAACAAGGTGATTTATGGTCTATGTGAAAATGGTGAATACTTTGCTTGTTTCTGAACTTCTCATATCCTTGTCGACCTCTGTCGGACGGTGACGACGGTGGAGAGACCAGGGACCAGGTAACTTAAGCACCGCACAGCGTAGACCACCGTTAACCGGCCTTCACGTACGATTTATCATGTCAGTTAATCTTAAAATGTTGAACGTAGATCACTTAGGGTGTGCTGACAGTGTTCCTTTAAGCGAATCCAAAAACGGATTTCTGATCCGAGATTTGCCGGATTTCGCGGTCGAAAGGAACGTGAAATCCGAAATTGGATTTGTGACCTTGGTAACCTTTCGCAAACGCGTGCCATATGCATGACAGCCTGAGCCTCTCAAGAAATGACATGTTTTCTACTGTTTGACAAATTATGCGATTATACCGTGCAGAATTTTGTGGTCGGCAGTTCGAATAACGACGATGTAACATAAACAGATCAAGAAAGTAGCGGTTAAAGTTGAAAATTATCTAAAGGTTGTCGGCTCAGTTTGATCCAGTTTCGTAGCTGGGTTTTCTATGTAACACGATCGAGTGCCTATCGCGTCCAAGAGCGAGTTTGTAGAAAGATAGAACTTATTTTACTCTACGGGAATACTTCAACTGGAAGTACAGCTGGATCATCTGACTAATTTCGAATCCACTGTGAATGGAACAGCGTAGATGACTAATCCGTTAATCTGGATTCGGATTCTTCGGATTTCAAATCCAATGTGAATCCTTTTTCAAAAAGGATTCACCAGATCAAAAATCCGAATTTGGATTTGCCGAAAGGAACGTGAAATCCGTTTTAAGATCCAAATCCGTTTCTGGATTCACTGAAAGGAACACACCCTTAATTGTGAATGGCGATGTATAGGTGTTCTATACGCGAAAGGTTAACTGAGAAATTGCTCAACTGTAATGGTTTCTTTAAAACCCATCGCTATCCCCCTTTTCTAAAATTCCGACAAAGACAAAGAATTTTCGTTCAATTTCCGACAGCGACGTGAAGCATTAATAAACACCGACACGAGACGTTTTAAAATTCAGACGAGCGACATGGGAGCCCCCCCCTGGCAGGGCCTCTTTATTGGAGCACGGTATTGTTATAGTTTGGGTTCTATCATAAAATTGAGTGTTGCAGGCATTGTTTTGGGATCTCCAAATACAGACTAAGGGAAACTGTGTGCAAATCGTGAACATGCGAGAGGACGAATTTAAGCAAGGACTATTGGCCATGGAAGAAGATGGATTTAACCGAGGACTATTGAAATCGTCAAAGAAAACTTGGGGGTTATCATAGATCTTTTAGATTTAATTTTGAAGGGAGCACTAAAACGAAATATATAGGGGAGTGTAGCGATTTTCAGGCAAAAGAAAGCTATATACATGGTTATTCTCCTTTTCTTCCCTGATTGAGTTACAGTGCGATTACTACAACGGGGGCTAACTAGACGAAGTTGACCAATCGGATTGCAGAAAAATAACAATACATTCCGAGAAAGTTAGCTGTCGATCATAATCGAAATAAACAACATGGATCGAAATCAACCAATTACAACCTACAGAGGTGATCTTTTAAACTCGCTGAAGAGAGCCCGTTTCTTGAGAGGTCCGTTAGAGTGAATGACACAGGCGAAAAACGTATAAACGTTAGTCAAATTTTTGAGTTGAGTCGGTGATCAGATGTTATTGCAAAGCGCGGCAATGGTAGCGAAGAAATTTTCGATAGATGACAAAATAACAGCTTAAAACATTGCTTGGTGGCTTCCAGTAACTTATTGTTTTTTTACGAGATGCTGATTAGCCCACCACCAACTTTCTTGGAATGTTTGGTTATTTATTTGTAATCTGATTGGTCAACTTTGTCTACGTGGCCCACTGTCCCCAGTTATACAGTAGTCGCACAGTAAGCTCCATTAGCCCTTTGTGCGACCTGCCTGTGTCCCCCCCCCGCCCCCATGCATAGCCTGTACTTATTTAGGAAGCACAATTCTTAAAATCCTAGGATTACTTTGGACCTTTCACGAAAATTCGCAGATTGTGTGTGCGGTATTAAAATCCTTCGTTAGAATTCCTTGAATTATGTGCGCTAATTGAAATCGTGAAAGTAAGGAAACAACAGATAAAAGTAGTAAAATTTCACCGAAAGATCGTTTGCAGACTTTTTGCCCCAGTTTTTCAAAAGGTGGATGTCGCTACCCACTCAGGGGATAGATTTGTATCCAGTAGATGACAAAATGGGTTTCCCTAATTAGTTATCCGCTTGCCCGTGATTTATCCGTTGGATAGCGCTAGCCTACTCATGGTTAATTAAATGTTGGTTTCATCAACCGAAGTCAATTTTCTATTGTTAAAAGATTACAGAAAGGGCATTAACCAAAAGGTTACTGTGGTTCCATATCAACCTAGGTATTTATTTCAATTCTGTGACAACCAAAAGCCTAAGGAGGGGTTTTTAAAAAAGCACAGAGTTTGCAACTGGGAGTTTACAAATTTAAATAAAATTATTGGCTCTAATTATATCTGATGCTATGACTGATCAAAATATTTAAACTTTCGCAGAAAAAACTTAGAGTACATTAGCTTTGGTAAGTCTGATAAAACACTTCCACCTCGTGGGGTTGGAAATTGTAGCTTCCAGCGAGCAGACTTTGCGTGTCACTTGCTCCATATTTGTAGCCCGCTACTTGCACGTAGTTGTGACCCAAATTAGAGTGCGAGTTGGAGTTGGAACCGGCACTATCAGCGATGTAAATATCATGGCTGGCTCCAAATGTTGGACCGTAGCCATCGTTTCCATAGATAGCATGCTCATAGTTTTTGATGTGAAGCTTGAAAGGCTCCAATCCATCTTTGTTTTTAAAGGAAAATAGGAAACCATGGACGGAGTGTGTGAAGTGGCCGCCAGAATCTGGAAGAAAATTATCAGTTACGTTGTATAATTAATAGAATAATGAACTGCGTCGATGAACTAGATAAAACAACTTTCATTGTCGTTGAAAGGACCCTTCAATCACAGTCACATTCCAGTCTAAAAGACAAACCAGCTGTCTATGGCTGCTGCTCAGGTGATATGGCTGTATGCGTGCGTAATGTGAGTGTGTTCGACGAGCAACTAACCTGCCAAGCTAGATGACTCCAATAGTTTTCTTTTCCTTATTCGTCTTCGCTTCTTAATCTTCTACTACACTCTTACTAACACTCCTAACTCCTACTCAACTCCTACCCACTAACAAGCTGAACAGTAGCGGTTTTACAAACCAAACCTGGTCATGTTTCGATTAGCTGACCCGATAAGGAGTGGCAAACTCCGTGTGGTTACCTTAAACACAGCTGCGATCTGTAAGACGTTAGAAAGCTGGTTAAAAAACCCAAACAGGAGAAATAAACCAAGGTCAGCTCTGACCTCCAAAACAAGGTCATCTGTGTAAGTATCACACCTTACAAGGCTAATTCAAATTGGACAGACAGCAAATTCTTTTTGCCCGAAATATCTTACTATATGTTGCAACTGTTCATCTTAGTAGGATGCCTGAAAAGTGTGGTGTTTAGCAAACCTCCGTGAGAAGTAAAAAATTCGATTTCTGTGTGTTTGAATTGAAGTACAACGAAAATATATTTCAAACCTTATATTTTCAATAGCCGTGATAAAATGTTTAATAAAAAGTTCTAGATACTTAGGTACTTAGGTTAGGTAGCTTCAAAAGGTTGCGTAATATCATATTTCGATGCTGGGAATTTTGGTGTATTTTCTTTCTTCCAATTCTGAAAACTAACCTGTTTTCTCACAACCTGTCTAAGTACAACTTTATTCTAAATTTTGACTTTTAGCGCTTTTCTGTATTATCTCTAAAACAGCTTGACATAATTCTTTTTAAACCTCGTCACATGATCTTCATTATGTATATATAACAACGTCTGAAACTTTCATTAAGATTGATTTACTCCACCACCTTGAAATTTCAAGAGAAATCTAGCCAACTAACCGGCCAAAAATTCGCGTTACATTTACTGTTTTGACGTTATATGCTAATTTTTCCAAATTGATGCACATAAGACACAGCTCTTAAAAATAACGTTCAAAATTCTTCACAATAGTAATGAACTGGCCACACCGGTATAGTGCGTGAGGTGTGTGTCTCTTTCTAAATTTTGATCTTCTCTTCAAACATACTATCAAACGTCCATCAAGGTAGCGCCTTCTCTTTGCTAACAAGACTATAATAGCGAGGAAAAACATTTTTTGCTATATTAAAATAAAACTCTGCTGTTTCTTCAGTACGCCGGCAACAGTTAAAAACCGTTTCTTGAATTTTACTGATTTCTGTTGCATTATACCCTGGGTGCCAGAGACTTTTTTGGCGCGGTTTCCAGTTTCTGTCGAGTCTTTATAGGCGGACCAGCGCGCGTTTTTTCTCGCGGCTTCGCCGCTCGTGGCTTCGGCCTACGGTGTGTTGGCCTTTGGTCAACACCAAAAATTCTCGCCGCACGCGAGAGAATTAAACCTCTGGTACCCAGGGTAGTTGCAATAAAGAACACACACAAAAAATGATGGTAATAGAATACTTACGCCAGTTTCGGTCAGTGTATCCCCCAAAGATATACTCTCCCACCCTTATAAAGGTCACTGAGGGACCCATGCCATTGCATTTTGCGTGGAATGTGCTGGATCTCCATCCATGGTCCGTAGCTCGGTAGCAGAGCTTCCATTTAGTGGGTAATGTAGATACGGGCTCTAACCACCTCTTCAGCAGTTCCCAGTACCTGGTTTTGTTGAGGAGGATTTTTGATGGTTCAAACTCTGGCCCTGTAAAATTGATAAATTTTTGACAAAACTTGAGCTTTTGATTTTATAGCAAACTATATAAGATATTTGAAACTAGCCATTGCTTATATAGATAACTTTGCATAGTAAAGAAGCTGGGGTGTCATAAACTAAAATATTGCACAGTTTAATGTCACAGAAGGGGTTAAAGTTTTCTCTCATATAAAATCTTCTGAAAGACAAAAATTAATCCAAGTCGCTTAAAGTACTTTGACGGTTTTTCCAGATTTCAGTTAATATGTTTGCAGCAAGATGCTGTAAAAAATCATCGTGCTTTTTATACATTTGACAAAACCACCTGACCCGTGTTCTCTCTCGCTATTATAGTTATCTTTCCCTTCAAATCATGCTGTGAGAAAAAAAAACCTGCCTGCCTTGCTGTTTTGTTTTATTTTTGTGTTTTAATTGTTTTAATTTTTGTTACTTTTGAACAATAGAAAAGAGAGAGCTTTGACTTCCTTAATAGTCTTCCACTGTACTGAAAAACGTCTTAGAACAGTTGCGCGGCGTAATCAACTAGTAGCGTGATTCAGCTTTTCCCAGAATCAAATCTACCTTCACAAATTGGTGCTTCCATGGTCCAGTTTCCGGTTGTGGCATTACAAACCCTGACCGGCGGTCCTCTCAGCCAATAACCTCCATTGCATTTGTAGGTTATGTTTTTTCCTTCCCAGAATTCAGTTGCTATAATGTAACCATTTTCAACTGGAGAAGGCTCATTGCACAAGCGGTGGCCTGAGAAACACAAACTCATTATAAACGTACGAAGTAAACATATGTACATATACCGGCACTGTCTTTATGAAACGTTTAATAAATGCAAGAGTAAAAGCGCTCAGCTTATTTCTCCATCAGCAGCAGTGAAAAGCAATCATAAAGATCGTGGACAATTTATTTGCATTTGTCGCCATAGTTCACGGCTCGATCTCTTTTCCACAGATCATGAGCAGGGGCGGATCCAGGATTTTTTTTAGGAGGGGGTACTCTCGTCTCTTGCTCTACTCCAACACCAATAAACCTCATAGTTTTTTTTTTTGCAGAATACCAGTTGTATTAGAAAACCACGGGTCATCTCAGGGGGGCGCACCCCCTGCACCCTCCCCCTAGATCCGCCCCTGATGAGCAGGTTCTCAATGATCAGTTTTTGAATATTTAAGTAAAAGAGGTAATAAAAGAGAAGTGAATAGGCAATAAAACTGGACTCCATTTCATTACATTTTGGGACGACGTCGCTCCAATTTCCATTTTCCAGGCACATTCTGTTTGTAGGTCCCTCTAAGAAGTAACCTGGGTCACATGTATATTTGACCATTTGTCCTCCCCAGTAATTCTCTCCAATCTTATAGCCATGCACAGGCACACCAGGATCTCCACAGCCAACCAGTTCTAAATTAAAAATTAGACAGTTTCTTTAGGCAATATAATTATGTAGTAATATGTATTATAATTTGACTTAATATGTTATATTAAACATTAACATATCAAGACTGCTGAAAAATTTACAGCAGGCTCATTTAGCAACACCTAATAAACCTTTATGATTGCGATCGGAGTCGAAGTCTTTTAGGGACCAATAAACCTGTTAGTTTAAACACCTCCGTTACTTTCGATTACTTATTTAATAATTGTTTTAGACCTGCAGTGGCTGAGGTTTCAGCAGTTCCATTGTCGTAGTTTTTAAAGAAACATGTGTAGACGCCTTGATCAGCTGGGCTAAATCGAGGAATAACAAGCTCTCCATTTACTTCTTCTACCGTCGTTGATGTTGTATTGGTAGAAATCACTACTCCATCCTTTCGCCACTCCAGAGTGGGGACGGGGGACCCCTGGGCAGCACATATCATGGTAACTGTATCGTGAAGCTTTGTAACTGCGATGAATGAGGGTGGTGCAGTAGTGATAACAGGATTGACTAGAAATCAGAATTAAAAATCGCCAAAGAATAAGAAAACAAACTCGTGGTTAACATGCAATGGTAGGTCTCTCATAATACCTCGCGCAGAGAATTAACTCGCGAAACAGTACTATTGTTAACTGCCATGTGACGTTGAAGCAGATATTGATAACCGTCACTGTTGGGGAAAATATTTTTAGGTTCTTGCTCGAAAAAGATAACTTCTGATCTCCCGTTTACTATTCCTTACACTTTTTAATGCAAAATAGGAAAGAATAGGGGGCTTTTTAAGATCTTATTCCTTACCAACAGGCTTCACCACAAGCACAATCATTGCGTACACGTGACCAAGTCTGTTATCGCCTCGGCACATGATTGGTCCTCTGTCTATCTTCTCGGTATCCTTTATAATAAGGTCTTTTCCAGTAATCACGTGACGGCCGATAGGCAATGGCCTGAATGCTCGGGTCCATCTTATTACCGGCGGAGGATATCCAAAGATATTGCATGATATAGTGCTATCCCAAGTCTCGTATCCCATGTGATATACCTCCGGTGTCTCTACAAAGCGTGGTGGCACTGCAAAATTGTTTAAGTCATGTTAAAGAAATAGCGGAGGGGTTTTTAAGAAAGGACATTTAGTTCATGCCTGACTTGATTAAATACCACTATTTTCTTGAACAGCCGAAACACGTTTATGTCTTTTTTGAAGTGGTTCTTAAGTTTAAATCCTTTAAAATAAGTCGTATCTGTATACACTGTACATACGCTCGTTTAACATTGACAATCATTAAAATTGCTTTAATCGTTAAAATGTGAACAAGATTTTTTGCGCCTTTTCTATTTTTTTTTCTCAGAGTTTTTGAACAGCAAGAGAACATTTGGGCAAAGCCAGTTTTTTTTAAAGACGTTTCCGTGTTTTTCAAATCATTATTTTGAAGAGAGAAATATTTTCTATTTTAACCTGAAGTTGGCGTAATAATCCAGTACTGTTACATTCACACGAGACAGTGGTTGCCTAGCACGTAATGGGTTTCTGGTTATAAGGGAAGGGTATCACGTGCTGATTTTTTTTATTGTTGGGCACTGTACTGCAATGTACTATTTCCAGTCGTGAATTCATTAGAATAGACTTCCGCCTAACTTTCTAGAATCATCTCTGCTCGTAGAACAATGTATGGCAGATAGCATCAGCAATGGGTCTGAAAGTGAAGAAGTGGCTGACTAATTCTCAGTTTGAATTACGCGAAGAATCTTAATTTTTTTAAAAAAAAAATCTATCGAGTGGTTTAAAAATTATTCACTAATTTGTTAAAGTAGACCGAAATGTTTACAAAACCGCTAACAAGAGCGCCATCATTTTTTGTAGCAGTTTTTTCAAATCATTTTTTGTAGCAATTGGCCAGAGCTATCTCCATGATCTTTCACCCACGTTTTTAAAAAGATTGAAACTACTATGAGGTGAAATTGCATGTCAAAAGCGCTTCGTTTTCTACAGATAACGGCCAAACATCAAGATTTTCCTTTTTTACCGTATTTCTAACGATTTAAACTTTATCCCAAAATATCTCCGCAACGCTCTTATACAGATTCCGTTTTAACTTCACGAACATCGAAGCGACTATTGGAGGAAAATGCTCCCGTGAACGATTTTGGAAGAACAGTTCCCAGTGAGAAATGTTGCCGTAAGTATAATAGGTAATGGCGTCATTTCGTTGCTATGACAACTCCGATGTTATTGCAACCCGGATCATAACAAAACAAAATCTAAAACAACTGTGGTGGCAATTTTTCCAAATGTTTGTTTATGGTTGCGTAAACTACGCTCAAACTTCGCAGGTATTGACCCTGAAAAACTATATCGAGCCACTTTCATATGCCAGTACGGCCTATGTTGTTGCATCGTATGGCCCTCGTTTCTGTTCGACTGTTTTGTAAACATTTGGGCAACTTGCAAGAATTTTTTGGGCAAATGGTTTACCGCCCCCCCCCCGCCCCTTCCCCCCCCAGACAAAAAATTGGCCCAGTATTTCTATCGACACTTTTTGAAACAAAAGGAGTTAACTACCACACGCTGCTTAGAAATAAGAACAGAATGCACAACAAACAAACAACAACATAGATACATTTACACATCCAAAAAAGGACTAACCGTTTGTGAACTGATCCCAGAAATCTCCCCTACGTTTAAGAACTGGCTAATATTACGGCTTCATTAAGGTTAAACACCTACCTTCGACAACTAATTCCACAGTTGCTGAATCAAACCCCAGGAAATTCCTCGCCTCGCATTTGTACACACCATGATCAGCAAACTGAATGTCGTTAAGGGTCAACATTCCTGAATCTGCATCATATTTAGAACCGTCAAGCGCTTCACCGTTCTTATACCACGTGATCGTCGGTTTAGGGATGCCATTGGCGGAGCATGGAAGGGAAGCGTTGTTTCCTTCTCTTGTAGTTAAGCTGGAAGGAGGTCCCGTGTTGATCTTGGGCAAATCTGGGTATTTAAACCAGCCACGGGAATTAGATTCCGTGCAATAATAACGGCACTTAGTAGTCTATTTCAAGATTATATTTCAGTGTTACTTTCAAAACCGGGTGGCGGTAAATTACCATGTTCCTTCTTGTCCTTTGCAAGTCCGTTCATTGCCCAGTCAGTTTCCAAAGGAAAGCTGTGTTAGACGACCTACAACACTCTAAACGACCCTACGACCCCACGACCCTCTTGGGCACGGCTGGCTGTATTTCTACGCCGAAGAGATCAGTGCCACGGGAATGATAAATAATGATCACTAGACGACCTCCCTTCCGTTTTCCTTCCTCAATTTGATCATGCGAAAACAAGAGAAAAGTGAATTCACCCAATTACTCTACCTAACACTGCAGAACATTTGCGTGATCTGAGGGATTTAACATTCACTACTGCCGTGTGCTTGATCATCGCTACTCCCATACTCTGAATGAAAGTTCAAGTGGGTAAGAGTTTTTTGAAAATCTTGAAGTTAGCAAAACAGAAAGGAAATATGGTGATATTCTGTTCTCGCCCCATTTTCAGGCCATTATTATTTTTTTCGTGAGAAACAGTTAACTGTCAAGTCAATTGCCAGGAAATTTTGGTCTTGCCCCGTCGTACATCTTAAGTATATAGATACCTATATCTTCAACCAGTTTAGATGTGTTTCCTGAAAAAGCCTTTCTAGGTCTTCCTTTGGGTCCTCGGGGGCCTCTTCCGCCAGGTGGTCCTTGTTTACCAGCTTTTCCTGCTTCACCTTGCTTGCCGCGCTTGCCTCGAGGTCCCTGTTTTCCTTGCGGCCCTCGTTCACCTTAAACCAACGAATTAATCAGTGACAAGCCCTTACTAATTTTTAGTTTTAATATTATATTGCTACGTGGAGAGATTTTATGCGCGGAACTACTGCACTTTTGTCTTTTTGTCAAAAAAAAAAAGATAAAAATAAAAAAAATAAATAAAAAAGAAGGGAAGGAAATAAATAAATCTGTTAGAAGCTTCTTTGATATTTCCTTAGTTCTGAGAAGAAAAAGGTCCTTTACTTGCGCTGTGTGATGCACGTTTAGAAGCACTGTTCAATAAAGTCGGTTCAAGAAATAGCGATAACAAACTAATTGACCCTGATTATATATCAGTGGCTTTTGCTGAATCAGGGTTAATTGAGGAAATGCATAACTCAGAGTGTGCTGTACTGATGTCAGGTTGCTAGTACAGGAATCAAAGAATTATCTTAGCGCCCGGACATTAATAATCCCATTGTTTACAAAAAGATTTTTTGAATTACTGAGATGGATTTTGCGTCGTAGGTGATGCACCTGTTTTTCTTCATCAGAGAGCTGTCGGATAGGGCACCGATCCCTTCCTACTACAGGAAGGATTGAAAAATCCTTATCTAAAAATGAACCAAAAAAAAATGATAGATAAAAAAGACAGAACAACGCAAATAGGGAAAAAGAAACGTGGCTGCGTAGACCAGTAACAATTATAGAATATATTGATTTTAAAATGATTTTCAAGAAGGACCCTTATGTTCATCATCACCATCATCATCATCAACATTCGTCCCCTTTTTGTTTTCACAAGAAAAAAACTACACTTCAAAAGAATGAGAGATAGAGAAAATAGTGTAACGGTGCATCTAAAATACCCTCTTCTTCATGATTATGGGTCATTTCTTCTTACCTTAGCTGACGTTCCTAAACCAAACAGTTTGACACAAGCATTGTGGCAGCTGACGCAGCTCTTGGACCCACTAACAGACTCAGAAGATCTTTTCATTCGATTTGATGTTTCATAATCTCCACTGTCGATAGTTTCAGCCTGCAATGTCACCGGCTGCCTTGACTGAAGCTGAAACACCTGTTCCTCCAAAACTCGTACTTTGTAAATAACAACTCCAACTGAAGCGAGAGTCAGTATGAGGTTCACTAACAACCCCATGGCCAATAGGCCATTGGATCGCGATTTTGCTTGTTCCATCCTGGTTCGTGTTGAGTTAAGTTTACGGGTTTGGTTTTAGGACTCTGTATATATTTGATCTCAGGCTGAAATTTAAGAGCCCCAGATGAGGATGAATGAGCTGAAGCTTCAGCAAAAGGGGAAATAAGTTTCAGCAAAAGGGTCCAAGCAGTTTAAGTAGTAAAATAAACGGAAGAAACTTTGTGTTTTAAACGTTACTACCGTCTCTGAATCACGTAGCCTAACTGCTATGAGAGCCAGTGTCTTATAGCTAATCAAGGGTGCCAAATTTAAACTGGCTGAATTAGATCCCAATATTTATTTTTAATAAAAGGGTTTTACCTTAAAAATCTAACGCTGAAGAGAACGTCGAACACCGAGTCAGTATTATTTGAACAGCAATGCTTTAAGGATCTATCAAGAATGCGGAAGGCCGTGGATTAAAATTACTTCCTAAATGTAACTTTCGGAGAATCGGCAGACTGGATACTTTTTACGGTCGGGATATCGAGGGATAGCTTAATTCAAGAGTTATCAAAAAACTTTCCTTTTCTTGCTTTTATTCAAAACGAGTATTTTTTTGTGGTCGAATAAGTTATTGCTTTGTAAATGTCTTTCGGCCTAGAAACATTTAGCCATTCACCTGCATTTAAAATGCAGAGGGCAAAGGTTAAAAATTTTTCATAAATATAACTTTCTAAGGATTTAAAAACTTATTACATTTTACTTTCGGGATATCGAGGAATAGCCTCAGACAAGAGGTATTTAAAAGCTTTACCACTTTATATCTTTGGTCGAGGTGAAAAATATTCAACGCTGGTCTATTGAGAATCGAATGACCCTGACCCTAAAAAAAGTGGGAAATGCTGGTTAGAGGAAATACTAAGAAAGCAATCCCAGCACCCATGAAGGATATTGAGAGGAAGGGGAAATAACATTGGCAGCCGGTAACATTTAACGAGCAGCCATGCAAAAGGGACACGCATTTCGATTTATACTGCTATTTGATAGGCTTACTATGTCTTTGTTCAGTTACCTTAAAATTCCGAAAATAAGCCCCGGGGCTTATATTTTTCAAAGGCCCATTTTGGGAGGCTTATTTTTGGAGGGGGTTATATTCGGAGGGGCTTATTTACGGAGGAAAATTTGCGTTTCTTAATCGATTGGGCTATAGCCTTATAATTGGAAGTAAATTTACCGTTTTTGCTTTGCTTTACTTTGTATTTGAGGGTAATTTTCCAAGTACAAGCCCCCGGGGGGCTTATATTTGGAGGAGTGATTTAACGGAGGATTTTTTGCGTTACCCGCTTGGGGGACTTATATTTGGGAATTTTACGGTATGCTATTGAAGTCTGGGTCGTTGCGCCTGTGGTAGCAAATACCATTCTCAATAGGTTTTGTAAGCGTGCAATAAAAGTATGGCTATACTGCTCTGTACACTGCCATAACTGATTTTATACGTGAAAGAGATTAGGAACTATGAGACCGTACGCCACTGACAGTCACTGTTTAAATGATCTTCTCCCGCCCTATGAAGCGCATGCGGAAATTACGAGACAGGGGTCACAATTACATCTTGCCGCTTGTTAGGACTGAAAGGTTCAAGCGATGTTTTATCTATAGATGTCTTTTTAATTTTATATTTATATCTTTAATTTTTGTTTATATTATTACGCGATTGTTGTTAACTCACACGTATGCTTGTGGGTGCTATTTTTTTCTTCAATAAATGAAGACTTCATTCATTATTCTAAAAGAGCATTTTTAGGAGTCAAGGAAGTTGTTATTCAGTGTCGTGGTAATCGTATCTAGTCAGTTATGTCAAGAAGCATTTAGCCATTCACTTGACAACCGAAATAATACTTCCGTTGCACCTGAAACTGCCGAATAATAACCTTATATCTTATACTCCTTCCGGCTAGGATCTAGCAGGTGTTAAAACCAGTCTGAACTATGTTTAGTATAAAACGACAAAAATTGTCTTGCGAGTCCTCTCGGGATTGCCTATATTGTTCCCACAAGAAACAAATTTCCTGATTATCAGTGAGGGTGACTGTATGTATCAATTACAATTTATTCTAATAAAAATAAAAAATCTAATAAGCTAATGTATTCGTAGTGTTATTGTCATACCCAAGACCCGTTTCTCGACCGGTCACTATAATAAAAGTGCCCAGAAGGCTGTTTTAAGTTTGCCGTGTTTTTGAATTCATTCAATATCAAGAAAGAGAAAATTAGGCTGGTTAGGAGGTAAAAAACCACACTAGCATTCTTTAGATTTTGACTTTAAAATATAAGATTGAGCCTTGACGACTTTCAAGAATCAGGCCCTTGGTACTTTGTTTCTTCCTCAAAACAGCTGTGGATCAGTATATTGGCTCACCTGATGGGATTGACTTTCGCGTTTACTCGATTAAACGCCGAGGCGCTTATTGGCTTTTTAGCGTTTCTGATGTGGCGTTTATTCACGGGCGGCGTTTATTTCAAAGTCATATTATTTTATAAAATCACTGACATAAGTTTGTGAATATCATTTGAACGAAACAGATAGATCATGTTTAATTAAAACTGCTCTAATGTCTTGCTCTTGCTGAGATTGAATCTTTAAAATTGTCTGCTAAATGGTGTAGATTAACGAGTTTTTCCTGAAAATCCTCTAATAAATGCAGCATTCTTCTAACTGGATGCGGCGTTTAATCGAGTAAAACCGGTACTTAATTTTAAGTGATGCGGAAGTGAGGGACGGATACCGGATAACTGGGGTTTACGGTATGCTCTCTTGGTTTACAAGGAACTGTTTTTAGTCACTTAATGCATTTTTCCTAACCGTCGTCTTATCTTACACATTTCCCTTCCGCGTCTTCATTGTAGGATTGTAGTGAATCATCATCCTTTGATCTAAGATTAAAGTCCACAAGTCATTGTTCGAAGGCAACGATAAAGACTAGTCCGCGCGTTCTCGTGCTTTGGTGATTTAAAACGATTTTTGGCTTACAAGTTGTTGTGACGAGTTTGGCCATGGGCTCTTCTTGCAAGGCGATAACCCATGATCGGCAGTTCTAAATAACTCCATCAAACCACTTCAAAGGATTTATTTTTTATCCCATGATCTTGACATGACGATCAATGCGACATCCTTCTCTTTCAGTTTACTACCGAGGCTAAAATTCCCTGTTCTTTGTTTCATTATTTCTGATCATAACAGCAGCATGTCACACAGGCATATGAACCTGTTAAAGATGGCCTTGCTCTCCATTAGTCTTTCCGTTATAGCTCAGTGGTAGGGCGCCATCCCTGTGTTTGAGAGGTCATAGACTCAAATTTTCGTGACCGCAACGAATATTTCCTGTTTCTCAAGAACTGTGTTTTTTCCTTTGTAGCTAGTGCGAATTAGTCAGATTTCCGAGTAGGGTGTAAGGTTTGTGGGCTTAAAAACCTCACTACTGGTTCTCCCCTCGTTCCCGTGTCTCCTGTCAGGTGACGTTCAGGCATGACTTTTCGCGACTCTCCTATGAAATGGAGAGCTTGCTGGCAGGCTAGCCCAACATGTGTACGTGTTAAGGAAAGAAACAAAACTGCTAAAAAAAAAGAAAACGAATAAACAGGGCCACCAACCAGCTGATTAAAGGACGTGCGTACTAGAATCGTTGACCGCTCTACAAAAATTAAAAGTGAATGGTAAGAGTAATGTATGGCTCGCAAGAGAGTGAAATGCCGGCATACGTAGTCATTTTCGGACAATGAATAGTACTTTTATTTCGGATAACATGGGTGAAAATGCCCGAAGCAATGCTAAGCGTCTCAGCGAAGCTTATCAGAATGCTAAATTTGGAATACTGTTTGTCCTTGTCTGATTCATCATTTGGCCCTGAAGGTCAAAAACGTGAGCTGCTTGATCTAAGAAAGCGCGCATCAGCCAGGGGCACCCAACAACTGTTTTCTGTAAAATATGTGTTCGGAGAAGCAAATATTACCTAGGATTTTCTATTACTTGAGGACGGCTAAAAAGTACTAGATGGCCGTTCCATTTATGCAGAATTTTCAAAGCTTATCTAATAACTGAAATTCCCTTCGAATTCTGAAGTTTAATTTTTCACATTTCACTCCCTAGGTTAGGCTATTTTTCGTAGAGAAATTCAAACCTAAAATTTTCGGATTAAAAAATTTGATGGAAAGAGAAATCAGACACTTTGGCAATAAGTTAAATTGCCCCTAAAATTTTCGGGAAAATAATACTGAAGCCCTTGTAATTTCGAAAAGACTCAAGTTTCCTTATTAAGGATGACCGAACAGTTACAAATTTTATATCCCCGCTTGGAATGCACTTCTAGAGATCTAAAAGGACTTTGGATAGCCTCAAAAAGAGTTTTCAGTTTATTTGGGAGGAAACCATCGTTGGGTGCCCCTGATCAGCAACTGTGAAAACATTTTTCTACCAGATGAAGCAAAGAGGTGAACAAACAATGCAAGGAATTCCATTTTCTTTGATCTCTCGGTTGTTCTCGATTTGGCAGTGTTTCATCTAAATGTAATGATTTGCTTTGCACGGTATAAAGCCCATTTCATTATATTTGCTTATCAACCGCCGACAGGGTCAGCACAAGCCGTTAATCTTAGAGGTCTCAATAGGATACCTTCTAGCAGTAAACTGACACTTGTTATGCCCATACCTTGTCCTTAATATAGCTACTAATAAATTGTTTACAGCTTCTTGAAATCGATAGTTGTGTTAAGAGCTTACTCAAATGATAGTCGACCTTGATTTCCGTTCGCGCGGCAAACACTTGATCCGGTATCATGAATCCGGAAGGCCATGGTCTTAAAATTACTTCCTAAATGCAACTTTCGAAGGATTGGCAGACTGGATGCTTTTTTATGGTCGGGATCTCGAGGGATATATATATATATATAGCTTAAATTATGTAAGGGTTATCAAAAACCTTCCCCACCACATCTTTGCTTTTATTCCAAACGAGTATTTTTTGTGGTCAAAGAAGTTTTTGTTTTATAAATGTCATTCA